CCCCCCCCCCCCCCCCCCCCCCCCCCAAACAAAATAATTTGCGTACGTCGCGAAGCAACGTTCTCAGCCGAATAAAAAAACTTGCCCCGTAATAATTTTTGGTATCTGTAGCCATTTGGAAAATATTTGCTGGTACAGTTGTAACTTGGCTAGAACGTGTGTTCGTCGAAGCGAAATTCCGAGCAGTGGCACGCTTTGAGGCGCAGTTTAATCACGGCGTATATCGCATTAAAAACTTTCGGGAAGCTCGTCGCGGCCAATCGTTGCACAATGCGCCCGCTTTGTTTTATTCTTCGCGAGAGCCGCGCCGGCATACATCAACGATCGAAACGGATGACCAAAGGGCCTGCGAGTCACACGCGGTTCGCCGAGGATTATGCAGTAACGAGAACGTTGAAGTTTTAATCCTTGTCACGGCGCGGAACCAGGAGTTATATGCGCGCGAACTTTAATTATGGACAGAACGGGCGACGTTTTAATTTATCAATATTGTCCGATGGGCGCACGCTTTTAGCGATGATACGGTTTGCTCCAAAGTACGACCCAGTTTCAGCGAGCTGATGCACCATCATAGAATAGACGGCGATAAAGGGAAAGTTCAAGGGAAATCAACCGTGCACCGTGTACGGAATATTTGAGTTTCGACGATTAGTAAAAAATTATTGCAAACGAGTGTTTGCAACCTTAATACGTACAATGGGGTTTAAATAGAATGTTTTCTTTCTTTCCCTTTCGATATTTCACATAATTATGTAATCGTTGATCTGTCGTGTCTCGCGATTTGTTTCGTATATTGAAACAGTTTTTCGAGATACGATTTTTACGATAACGATAATGTTGTTTGACGAATATATTATTCGATAAAATTCGTATGCAGGAAGGGAAAATAATCGATGGTAGAAATCGATAAGGAGATACAAAATAATAAATTGTATTAAAATAAGGATACTAAGTAGAAATTAATGAAAATAAATTAAATATGCGAACATTTATATTCGTCTTATTCGTAATAAACGATTTAAGAATTTATCGAAAGATGTATCGTGCGAACAACCGGAAATTCTCTAGCGTGTAAAATGTGTCGAAAACATGAGATAGGTTAGGATTGCAAAAAAAAGAAGAAAAGTAGTAAACGTTGTCTTTTACATTTTATTTCTTATTACAAAAGGCGAAATTTCATTTTGAAAACGTTCGAATTATTCGAACATCTTCGCGATAAGACACTAAATTAACAAACCAGCTTCAATTTCACGTTCCCGACGAGGAATACACATTTCCGGTACGACGAAATCTACTCTTATCAGAAAATCGAGCAGCGTGCTCTCTTTAATTGCCGTGGGATTCGTTCAGTAATTCGAGCACGTTAACGTTTACGGATTACGTTTGCATTACTACGAATTTTCCAAGTTCGTTTAAATTCGGAATGAATGGCGGGATGGAAGACCGCGTACGCTGTATGCAGAATGGGACCGCGACGTCTTCGAAACCGCACCGGGTGCAACAATCAGGAAGCATAATACCCGCCGCCTTTCATTCCGTCTAAGCACCTACACCCGCCGCGGATCGCCCTTTCGCGAGCAGGAAAACCGGTAACAAAGCGGGACAAAAATCGCGGACGGTGGAAAAGGGTGAGACCGGGGACGAGGGTGGGGGGGGGGGGG